CCGTTTTCCTATCGTTGCGTTAGTGTCCGTCGTTGCGGAAACGTGTTTACCGAACCTTTGCTTGAATGTGAAAATACAGTTTTAAGAACAACGCGCAAAACTTTTCGTAATCTAACCGGCCGATTTCAATTTGCGTTTTTATTTTTGGCAGATTCACACGGTGGCTCCTAGTTGCCCATCATTCAGGAAATATGGTGATCCCGTCGCTAAGATGGTTTGTCTTATCCTTGCTAGCAAGCAAACTGTAAGAATTTCGCTTTTGTTGTGTGTGTGTGTGTGTGTGTGGTTTTACATATCATCACAACTTTGCAGAATTCCTATTAACTTCGCAACACATTCCTTTATAAACGACGCAAATCAACCGCTGAACAGATCTTCATAAAATCTAATAACAGGTCACGCTACATGAAAGAAACCTCAATTGTTTCAGCAGATGACAGCGATTGAGACTAATAAGACAGAAACGAATTATTGACTAAGTTTAGACCACGTTTAAATCTCATTTCTTTTATTTGTGTTTTAACGTAGTGTCCTATTACAACATGCTAAATGTAAAATCATCCATATAACAGGGCGTGGAGGCCAATAGGGTTGTGAGACGTCGAGGCTCCCACATTTTCTAGACAATCGGCTCACAGATGGCGGTAGTTGTCAGCCTTACGCGCCAGCCACCCTTTGCCCCCAGGAAGATTCCTGATACTCATTTCTGTTAGAGGCTGAGTCGACCCCAAGGCTATAATGCGGCTGGAAGGATTAGGTCAATTGAAAAATCCAGTAACCCGCGACCTTCCGGCTTGTAGTATAGTTCCTCGACCAACTACGCTACCGCGTGGCCCCATTTAGAACATGACTTGCGTATATTAGGCAAGTTGCAGGTTGTATATCAATGTCCACATACTTCGAATTTTTATGCAACAAAAAGAAACATGGCCACTGGTCGCACTCCATATCTGCTGAAATACTCGTACATACACTTCACTCTTCATTCACTCATGGAGTTTAGCCCTTCTTGAGAAGCCACCAATTGTCCAGCTACTCAAGAACTTCCCAGTATTTTATGGATCCCGAAGGTTCCTCCACTAGTCCCTGTCCTAAGCCAGAACAATCCAATCCATGCCATCCCATCCTATCTCTCTGGGATCCATTTTAAGAATGTCCACCCACCTTCCTCTTGGTCTTCCTATTAGTCTCTTTCATTCTGGCTTTCCCACCAATATCCTATATGCATTCCTCTCCCACTTCGTTCTATATGCCCTGTCCATCTCATCCACCTTGATTTGATCATTCTAATTATACCTGGAGAAAAGTAGAAGTTAAGAAACTCCTCATTATGCAGTTTTCTCCAACCTCCTGAATTAAATACACTTACAAATAAAATTTGTAACAGACTAACGTCTTTGCTCGTTACAGCGTAATCTAATACAGATTGCTGCTTTATTGCATTCTAGGAGCCTGTTTTGTTATTTATGACCAAAAGAATGTATTATTAATTCTATCGTTGTTAATTTTATAATATATATATATATATAGGTATCTCCGTTGTCTTCTCATTATATTTCTGTCTTATTTCAGGAATTATATCTATCCTTATTCTTGCATTCAATTCTCCCAGTATCAATATTGGTTCATTAGACAGTAGGCATATACTATTGATTTGGTCATCAGATATTCAGAAGAAAAATATATCTTTCCATTCCATTTCATATACACAGAAGATATCAATATTATAATTGTTCGTCTCTACTGGTATTAGCAGAACCCTGTTTGTAATGAAGTCACGTTCCCTAATAGCATTTGCATACATTTTATACGTAAGCAACCCTACCCCTCCCTCCTCTTTGCTCTTTCTTATCTTCCGATTGCAATGAATATCAAATAGCAGGCCTGTAGCTCCCATTCCAAGAGGGTACGTGCGAGTATCCCACTCTAATATAATCCTTTTCTTTCCGTTGCCGTGCTGAGGTCGTCAAAATTATTCAATCCGGCTTCTTTCTCTCATTTTTCCACCAATTAGATTGACTGCTCAAGCAGGCTGCAAGCCTGTCTCCTGGTGACCAGTGGCTCATTACTTCCTCGCTACAGTGGCGGCCACGGTACACACACGAATAAGCGATCCCATATTTGTCTTTGTCTTTTCGGACGCCGAAGTCGGATTTATGTGGGACCTCTTAAAATTTAGACTTTACAAACAAGACAGCTTCTTTCATGGGCATTGGGGTATAGCCTCATGCCTGTTTCATTAACCTTATCCAACTTGTACGGAGCCAGGCTGGAAGAACGAGGGGTCGGAGTTCGAGTCCCGGTAGACTCAAGAATTTTCTCTCCTCCAAGTCGTCCAGAACGGCTTTGGGTCCCACCCAGCCTCCTATCCAATGGGTACTGTGGGCTCTTTCTCCGGGGGTAAAGCGGCCGGGGCGTGAAGCTTACCACTAAACTCCAACTAGTGCCGAGGTCAAGTAAACCTGGATCTATGCATCCGCTCCCCTATACTCTTTCATGGCGTAGTGCTTAATTAGTTAAGCGCAGGGACAACTTTACCTTACCATAAGACAAAATAGCCTAAGTTAGGCCTACATAGCCGGCTCATAATATGTGTGAGCTGTGTCCTGAATATGGACTCGAATACCGGGTTCGATTCTTAGCAGAGGTGACGTTTTGTCCTCAGTAATTATGGGACTCAGAGTGCTGTCTGTTTTCAGACAGTCTATATACCATACTGCATCGCCATTTCTCTGGAACACATACGCATTTGGGGTGCGGGGTTATGCGTCTCCCACTCCCTGCATCCTATAATGTATGGAACAACACAGAAAATAAGAAGATCTGGAAATAATTTCCTGACGCCTCCTCTTCTTCCGGTGGAGTATCTAGTCCCATATATTAGCAGACGAATTGTAAAATTTAGCATACACTTATGGCGTGATCTCCACTATTTAAAAAAAATATATATATATATATATTGTGGCAAAGGGCTGCAAATTTTCTCTGTACGTGCTCAAGTTCAGTGGAGTCAGTAACCGTAACGCATTTGCAAGCGACAGGAGCATATTTCAGTTTAGATCTGACCCCGCAAAATATAGCTTCGACAGACTCTCTGTGGAGGGGCGGAATGTGATTTTACGAATTAACCACAGCAATTTTATTGCATGTGCAGAAATAATAATAATAAGGTAAAGCTTGGCCTGTGTTTAACTAATTAAGAACTAAGCCATGAAGACGTATGGGGAGTGGATGTATACATACACATTTTCTTGACTTCGGCATTAGTTAGAGGTGAGTAATAATAACAATAATAATAACAATAACAATAACAACAACAACAACAACAATAATAATAATAATAATAATAATAATAATAATAGAAGACCATACACTCATTTTACGTCTATATTCTCCTCTTAATGTAAGAGACTAAATTCCACATCCATATAAAACAACTGGTAAAATTAGTATATACGCCTAGTTTTACTGAAAGCAGGCTAAAACATTATACCCTCGGAGTAACTTACAAAGCCCCAGAATTTATTTTATGGAAATCTGGTAATTTGATTAACATTTATTAGTGATACACACTCAGAATGAACATGCAGGCCTGTTACTCTAATTAACTAACTAACCAATTTCTTGAAATGTTGCCAGTTGCGCAGCAACTCAGAAATTTTTCCGAAGTTCATAGTACCCGAAGGTTCATTACAGTTTTCACAAGAGCCCTCCACTGATCCCCATCCTGAGCCATATCAATCCAGTTTATGTCAGCCCCTCTTATCTCTTTAAGATCGATTTTAATATTATCCTTCCACTTACGTCTTCCAAGTGGTCTCTTTCCTTTTGGCTTCCCCACCCGGACCTATACGCGGTCCTCTTCTTCCCAATGCGTGCTACATGTCCTGCGAATTTCATCCACCTTGACGTGATCGCTATAATTATACTTCTCGAAGAGTATAAGTTATGAAGCTCCTAATTATGCAGTCTTCTCAAACTTCCTATCACTTTTTTTATTGCTAGTGGGGTGGGACTAAGTCCCTTGTACTGCGGCCACTTCTGGCCTGTTGTACCAGCCCCAGATGATAGGTGAGGGTGATTGTGGAGCAATTGGTGGAATGAAGATTGGGAGGGGAAACCGAAGTACTCGGACAAAACCTACCCCAGCGCCACTTTGCCCACTACAAATCCCACTTGACCAGAACCGGGATCGAACCCGGGCCGCCGCGGCCCTCCTATCACTTCCTACCACCTGTTACCCGGTATGGGAGCGGTCAGATAACCTGTTAATAGCAATATCCTCTCCTGTTTCGGCCAGCAGAGGCACTGAATGGAGTTGTTTCATATCATTACCCAAATAAGCAGAAAGCGCGACGGCGCGCCGTAATGATTCATTACAGGCAAGATTACAAACCACAGACCTGAATCGTGAGCATTTCTGCGGCTCGCCGCCCGCTGTGGCTTTCAGGGGAGCGAGTCAGTTCAGCCATCATCACTTGCAGGGAGAGGCAGCCCATCTCCCTGTTCTCACGTACGTATACAAGAATGGGGGAAAAAAGAGATGGAAGAAGAGAATGGATAATAGAAGGCGTGACCCCTTTCTCCTCCCTACTTCACTACCTCACACCACCTTCCTTTCCATTCTCTTCTCTCCTGCACAGTGCATAAAATATGCCAGTCACCCCCTCCACGTACTTCTATAACTCCGCCCACTAGGAACACATTGCAAACAGCAACACTGTAATAAGGAAGAGCGGACCAATCAAAACTGAGGACCTTATACAAACCTGACCAATGGGATGATTCAATTGATTAGAAGTCGCCGGGTTAGATCTGAAAGAGGTTTAATGGTAATGGAAATGAGGGGGAAGAAGAAGAAATGTTGAAAACGTAGAAGGGGGGGGGGGTGACGACATCGAAGGCTTCTGTACGGATTGTATAGTTAGACTTAATCAAGTTCAACATCGCAACGTGCAGGAGGTTGTGTAGTTCCTACAGTAAGACCCCAAGAGAGAGAACCACCTTTTCTCCTACCCCTTCTCTTCATCCCTTCCAAGGCTTGTACAGTTTCTAATTAAGATTGCACACAAAGAGAAGGATAGGTAACATGAAAGCGAGAGGGGTGTTATGAGTACACTTTTTTTTTTAATGGCAAGTTTGTTAACCGCTGCTTTAGATGTGAATGCACCAATCAGAGATGCGTAAATAGGGCGTGCTGAAGGATATGTGTGGATATATTTCTCTGCTTAGTGCTCAACCTAGCGGAACCCGATCTGCAACATAACTCAACGCTTCACATGACTGTGCGCTGCAAGTTCTGTGCTGTGTGCCCACTAGTGATACGTGTCTCGTAAGATCTGATGACACAAATGTGCGCGTGTTCAAGTACCATAACTTCATGTGAGGAAAACAATAGAATTTAAATTACGTTCATGTAACTTTTAAACTATGAGTTCTTCTGAAATTCAGTTATGTTTTTGCTAGAAAAAGACAAGAAATTTGGTAACAGAACTAAAGAAATGTAGGTGTTCTATTGGAAAACATTAATTTTTAATGTGAGAACGTGAAAGAATGTAAATACTACATCTGAAATTTGTGATCATAATGAGATTTGGAAAATAATTGTGTTTAATGGGTTAATAATAATTAAATAATTACAATGAAGGTTAGTGAGAATTATTTAGGAACTTCAAAAATAGTTGACATATTTAGTGTTTATAAATATAGAAACTTTCAAGGAAACGTAACGGATTAAATCATATAAACAAAATTACAACAGAGAGAAATCAGTGAACATTTAAAACGTAAATTATTGAGAACTGCAACCGATCGGTTTTCCAATAGCTTATCAGGCGAACATTTAGGTTAATTTTCATTTCTGTAATCAAATCTCTTTAAGGCTTGTACCTGAAAAGTATTCCAAAAGGAAGACATACACTTGACCAGAACCTGAGGTTGGAGTCAGGCTAACTTCATACCTAGGCCTACGTCCAACAGTATGATGCAAAACCCGTTGCTAGGATACACCTCGTTTACGCACTTCCTAGATTTTCGACATCAGCAGTACCCGCCACCGGTTCGAGGTTCTGCCACGGGAGCTAGCGGGCCTTCCCCGTCGTCACTGTTCATGTACTCGGCACTACGTCAGCAGGCCCTGACTTCGAGAAGTAGCAGCAGTGGAGACAGCCCTAGCCCGCCGATCAGTGCCACGTCCTCCAGCACGATGGGCAAGTCCTTCACGATTGATGCGATCCTGGGGCTAGGAGATGCTAACAAGCTGGACTGTGGGGTAGGGAAGTGCATGGCGACAGATCTGAGTACCGGCACTAAACACTCCGAAACAGCCGCCACCGTTTCGGCAGTTCTGCACCATCCGCTGCAAGCCTCGTACGCGGTCCGAAGGTCCAGTCAAGGTAAGTCTGTGCGGCTCCATACCTGCCCCTTTTCGGCGGTGAAGTGAAAGTGAAGTTCTCCTTCTGCTTAATTAATTAAACACTACTCCCTGATGACGTATGAGGTAGTGGGTATATAGATCCATGTATTCTTGACCTGGGCGCTGGTTGGAGGTGAGATCAGCATGAAGCCCAGCCCGCTTTAACCCCCAGGGAAAAAGCACCTGATACCCATTAGATAGGAGGATGGATGGGCCCCAGAGCCGGTCTGGGTCAACTCAAAATTGTCCCTGTGATTAATGAATTAAGCGCTATGCCATGAAAAGGGGGGGGAATGGAGGTATAGCTCCACAATTCTTCATCTCGGCAATAAATGTGAGTGATCGGACGCACCCCGGACAATTTACCCTCAAGGAAATCGTCCCTCCTCAGTACATTTTTCATATGAGGCAGATGGGCCCCAAAGACGATCTGAAAGATATGGAGGAGAGAAAATCCTTACTCCTGCCTTGAATTGAACCCCAGGACCCCAACTTCTAGCCCTTCGCTAAATTTGAGCAACAAATTTTTACTGACACCATCATGAAAATTCAGCGAAAAAAGTTTAGGCCTGTAAGCTGTTGAAGGGGGAGAGGCAAAAGGGCAGATACGGAACTATAAAATAGAAGGAAGTAGACTAAATGATGATAGATGTGGTTAGTAGAGACATATTCATTGGATCAGACATAAAACTTTAAAGCAACATAATTTTGTGGACCATGGCATAAGTAGGACTACTTAGATTTGAGTTAAGAACCCCCCCTCCCAAATGAAATTATATCGAGAGAATAGGGGTAAACTTCATATAACTGTGGCTGACATAAAAATATCGGGTCTCTTAGAGGCATATAAGCACTGAGACTACATACGCCTGGACGAGTACTGTAGCTTGCCTATAAAGGCTGACACTTGCTTTATGGTCTATAACATGAATCTTCATTACGTGACCTATGTTACGAGATAGTTGCGAGTAGCAGAATATGTCTGAAATGACTAGTAATGCTACTAAAGATTCAGCCGGTACTACAGTGACTACCTTTGCCAACAGAGGCTAACAGGTCCCCTCCAGATAACAATTGCTATTCTCGAACACGTATAGGCCTATTTAACAGGTACAACGTTAGACATATACCTCAACAACGAAATTAGAATTAATCGTTTGCAAAAATGGATGCATCTGTTGCCATAAGCCTGAAATATAAAAGTGTTCCGTGAGAAGCTGTGTCAACCGCAGAATCAAAAGTCTCTTTTCCTATATACAAACTTTGGTACTGGGTCGCGCCATAGCTCAAGCGGTTGGTCGCTGGCTTCCCACCGCGGCGGCCCGGGTTCGATCCCGGGTCTGGTAAATTGGGATTTATGGTGGACAAAATGGCGCTGGGGTAGGGTTTCTCCGAGTACTTCGGTTTCCCCTGCCAATTGCTCCATAATCACCCTCACCTATCATCTGGGGCTGGTACAATAGGCCAGAAGTGGCCGCAGTACCAAGTGGACTCAGTCCCACCCCAGCAAGTAATATAAAAACACAAATCTTTGGTATTAATTCCTGTCAAACACAACAACGCTCAAAATAACTCACTCACACTTTATTGTGTACAGCTGAGTTTTATTGATACAAAATACGGTGTCGCCGTCCTCAGGCGAGGCAATTAAGATGCCTCATACCATTGACTTGTGACTCTCTCCTCCTAGCGATCAGTTCTCATTTGTTCTATTACAAACACAAAAAAAAGAGAAGTTGCAAGAAAATAAAATGTTAATATTTTTGTGTCGTCTGTAACTGTGAAGCACCTCGGTAAAAAGAAGAAGTTCTGGGAACAGGTAGCCGGCAACTTTCCTTTGATACGTCATGGACAGCGCAGAAAACAAAAAAGAAAGGGGCACAGACGCAGAGAAAGCAAGGTGAAATCGTAAGCATCCTAACAAAAATTAGGAGGGATACACAGACAGACAGCAAGGCGATCCCATAATCCTAAAAGTTAAGGTGGATACTAAGACAAATGGGCAGATACAGACGGATAAACAGACAGACAGGAAGGTGATCTTATAAGTCCCCTTTTATTTTTTCAAACAATGAAATTAGGCTAAAAATGCCGGTCTAGAAAACCGAAAATAACGGCCGTGGAGATTCGTAGCGCTGACCACGCGACACCCTCTATCCGCTAAAGTTGGCACTAACTTCACCGACAAGCGGCGGTCGCTCGGTCGGTATAGTTCGCTTGCGAAATCAAGCCACGGAGTTTTAGGTTAAAAATAACTTATTTCGGGATTCATTGACTCCGAAGTCGTTAACGGAATATAAAGTGGTTTTTACATAGTAATGATTACATTACGTAATTGATAATGCAGACAACAACAATGATGTACTCCCATAGAATTACTGGGTTTTTGGACTTTTTCCATTCTAGAGAACAGAAAACAGACAGTGGTAGAAATTAGCTTTTTCCAATGGGCCCAGCCAAGTAGATGTCTTCTCACCCTTTCACCACAGGACGGAAACATACAGAGTTTCCGAAACGTCTGTTTTCTGTTCTCTAGACTAGCGGACGATGTAATAAAAAGTAAAAAAAAAAATCAGTAATCCTGTGTGATATACACCACCGTCAGAATCCTTTAGAATCTGATATATTTCCATTTGCTCTATAATTTTAATGGACAATGAATTTATAGACGTCTTAACATTACAGCGGTCTGGGAACAATACAGATAATTCGTGCACGGGAAAGCAAAAGAAGACATTTAGAAAAGTTTCGCGCTTAACTCTTTTATTTATGTAGAATAGAGAAATAAACAAGGACCGCTTCTGTGATCTAGTTGTCAGAGTTCCTGCCTACAGATCCAGAGGTCCCGAGTTCGATTCCCGGAGTTACCAGATTTTCTGAGAAGTATTGAGTCTGGAATGGGGTCCACTCAGCCTCGTGACGATAACAGAGGAGCTATTTCAAAGAAGTGGCTGCTCCGGTCTAGAAATCCGAGATTAACGGCCGTTGGAATCCGTTGAGCCGACCACGTGACACCCTCTATCCACAAACGTTGGCACTAACTTCGCCGACAGGCGGCGGTCGCTCGGTCGGTATAATTCGCTTGCGGACTACAGGCCACGGTGTTTGTATACAGAAATAAACAGGAGACAAACGAACTACGTTTCTCGATTCGCCTATAAAATGAGATGTGTCTTTGTCGATAAGTAGGCCTAAGTGTAATTTTAACAGTGACAACCAATTTCCAGGGTTTTCATGACTTACAAGATTAGAGTGTAAAATACAATTCATATTACCGTCCGTCTTTCTAATTAGAAAGGCTTACGGTATTGGAAGGAGCCGGGATAGCGCAGTCGGTATAGAAACTGGCTATGGGCTGGACGACCGAGGGGTAGGAGTTCTAGTCCCGGTGAAGGCAGTGCAGACCGTTTCTGAGGCCCACCCAGACTCCTATCCATTGGGTACCGGGCGCCCTTTCCCTGGGACAAAGCGGCAGGGGCATGAAGCATACCACTCACCTCCAACTAGTGACGAGGTCAAGAAAATATGTATCTATACATCCACTCCCCCATACGCCTTCGTGGCGTAGTGCTTAATTCGTTGAGCACAGGGACAACTTCACATTTATGGCACTGGAAATAGAAGTTTCAGTCGCATAACCTAGGTATTTTTTACTTTGTGGGCTGGGGGTGAGGCTGATTCACTTGGTACGTCGGCCACTCTTTGGCCTCTTGTACCAGCCCCGGATGATGAGTGTGGAAAAGTCAGTGGAATGATAATTGACAGGGGAAACCGAAATATTCGGAGAAAACCTGCCCAAGTGCCGCTATGTCCAACACAAATCCCACATGACCTGACCCGGGCTCGAATTCTGGCCGCCACGGTGGGAAGGCAGCCACTAACCGCCTGAGCTATGGCATGGCCTACAATCTAGGTTAGTCTTGTGAGTAATGCTGCAAAAACACAACCGATTTTTCGAGGAAGTAACAAACTTTTATCGTTGACTCTGAAATATATAAGACACGGTTGCTATCAGTTTAATCATTACAGCATGAATACAAAGTTATATCTCTTGTCACCAGCTACGTATGAATGTTCATTCACTTGCCGCTTTGCCCTCCGAGGAATCGAACCTCGGTCTACCCATTGGTTACCAGTCGTTTACTTAATCACGGCCTAATACCCGATCAAGAATATAAATCCCTAAAAGTTTGTGACGATGGTATATCGCTACAAGTATTACGTTTTTGGACACTATCAATCGTCTTGTCTATATTTAAAAAACCGTCTCGTTTATTTTCAAAACACAACGTTTCGGAGACTGGATTCTGTTCCCGTCCTCAGGTAAAACCTACTCAGTTGGGTCCAATAGATAAAGCTAGCCCCTATCATCGGACGGTTTTTTAAAAATAGTCATGATGGATCATGTCCAAAAATATAAAACTTGTAATATAAATCCCATTAAATATTTTAACATATGATATTTTCGCCGTTACACTTGTATTGGTCTTGAAATGACAAACCGTCAAGTTTAAGCAAGTTTAATGTAAAGAAACGGATTATTAATATTAATATTATTATTAATATATTCTTACATGTTTCAGTCCTTCGGGACCATCTTCAGAAGCTAGCGCCCATCGCATACACTGACATTACACGTATCCAACAGGACAGCCACACATTCAGCACGCAGCAAGAGAACAGAAACACGTGAATCATATGCTACAGAATAAAATAACAAGCATTTGAACAACTAAAGTCTTAACCAGATAGACGGAATAGCTCAGTCCGTATAGAGGCAGTATACGGGCTGGACGACTTGGGTTCGATTCCCGGCAGTGCGAGATTTTTCTTCTCTCCACAGCGTCCTGACGGGTTCTGGTGCCCACATAGCGAATGGGTACCCCGGCTCTTTCCTCGGAAGTAAAGTGGCAGGGGCGTGAAGCTGACTACTCACCTCCTTCTAGTTTCAAAGTATATAATAGTGGAGCTATACCTCCA